TAACATAACTTACTTTGACTTTGGACACTATTCACATAACTTACTTTAACTTTGGCCATGTTTACTTGACAGTGTAAAATAGGGGAAATGAAAATTTTTCGAATTTCATAAGTTGGATACTTGTTTGGTTGACATGCACAAAAAAAAAAAAAAGGATGTGGAAATTCATGCCAAAACACATGAGAAGGTAATTACCAAGCCGTCATTGGTCAATAGAAATTGAAGGGATTTTTAAATTCCCACATTGCCAACCATGCAAGCAAACAAGTTTTGGAAATTCCTTCATTAGGTAAATAACTTTTTATGATTTCTTAAAAAATAAAATTCATGAAATGCAGTTTCCTACGAAAATTTAATTATCACGTCAACCAAACGAGACCTTTGTGTATGATTAAGTGTTAAGAAGGACACGGTCATGTGAGTTTTATTAGTTTCATACTTTCATCTGTCTATTTTTCAAATATCAAAGTTTTATACGATTACTTACTTATGCATCAATAAACATAACTAAATAAAATGTATAACCTAAGTATGAAACAAAATTACTGCGAAGATTCTGATTTTGACTTGTATGTATAGACATGACTCAAATTATATAACTAATATATAAAGCTAAATTTTTAGCCAGACCACGAGACAACGACATTTGGCGTTTTAACTTTTTGCCAAGTGTAGGCCACAAATTAATTATTAGTACCAGATTAGAGCCCGTGCGGTGCACGGTAATAATAATCCTTTTTCCCATAATTTATTTGTGATATAATATAAAAATGAGGCAACTCATGTAGAATAACAAAAATGTAATGCATATAAAAAAGATGAAATAATAAGGTAAAAATTATTAAAACTACAATTGAGGGAAAAATAATTTATTGTTGATTAGTTGTGTTAAAAATATTTAAAAATAGTATACATTATATTACATTAATGATGCATGTTATTCCCAATAAAACTATACAATGTAGATGTCGTATGACGTTTTATTAATTTAGTAAAAAAATATACAATATACTTCCAAAAAATAAGCTAAGTAGAATAGTTTTTAAAAAAAATAAAAAATTAAAGCTGACATCATATATTGTATTCATATTTTTTTTAATGATAGCCTAACATATGTCCAAATTCTAAAATGATTGATGTAAGCATGACCTGTTTTAGTAATAGTTAATAGATTTTTTGAAGGAAAAAAGTTATAAGTTGGTAAATTATTACAGAAATATTTAACAAAAAACTAATTCATGTTATAAAATAAGGAGAAAAATATGAGAGATGGAGAGAGAATAGATCAACTTATTATTCCATAGAGTACGGATATATATATATACAATATAACTAGGGTTTGCTTAGATAACAATAAACCCTAGATCTAGAATATTCCGGAATGATACAAGGAGGATAATGGATATCCACAAATATTTCATAACACTCCCCCTTGGATGTCCATTATCGAAGAGTGTGCCTCGTTAAAACCTTATTAGGAAAAACCATGTGGGATAAAAAAAAAACTAATGAAGGAAAAAGAGTACAACATTCTTCGTAATACGCTCGAGATGCCGCCTCATTAAAAACCTTACCAGGAAAACCCAATGTGGGACAAAACCATGGTCAAGGGAAAAAGAGTGCAGCGCGTATTTTCTCCCCCTGATGAATACATAACCTGAGATCTTCTAGTGTCGCAACAATGAATCCAATATGATTGGATATCTTCTAATATGCAGTCAAATATCATTCTTGGTCTTCGATCCTCCTAAACTGAAAGTGCATCTCCAAGTCTTCAAGTGAACATGTGCAGTGTCTTCATTTCACCATACATGTATTTATCTCTAAATCATTCCAAACTCTGTTTGAATAAAATTACTTTAAAAGTTAAACTTATGCGATTGGGCCTTCTTTTGGAGGTCGGGAATAATAGAAATTGATGATCATTATTTGATCAAACATTCATTAATAATAATTTGATAACAAAACTTGATATTATTGATGTCGTTCTTCAATTTCATATGAATTGTAATATAACACATGTATTTAGATACGCTAATCATGGTTCTTCTGGACCATAAGCAAAAATTCTCACGCATAAGTATTCCATTGATATCCCTAAATGTTTCATAATTGACACGATAGCTCTCTTGCAAATACAAAAGCAAATCTCACTAACTTACATATGCTCAAACTTCAGGTTGAGAAATCAATGATGTAGTCACATAGACTTTTCAAGAGTTTGATAATAATTGCAATATTCAAGATATAAAATTTGTAAGGCTATAAATACGTTGCATATAAGTTCTTCGGGAACTTCTCTTACATGATTTATAAATAATATTAGATCAACGTCATGTATAATTTCATCATAATTATAAGCCCGTTGGAATATAAATATGTCTTTCTAATTTTCCATCAAAGTTGTAAATATGCTTTACTATACTTTGAATGAACATGCACATACACCACAAATATTGTATATAAACTAATGCATGCAATATGAGATATATAAAACATGATAACATATTAAGGAAAATGTACAATAAGTAATGCATCTAACAACTACTGACATATGCAATGAACAATCCGTTAACCTATGACTTATACATGCATATAAACATACATAGGACTCAAAATAATGCAAGACACTGGACAATGTGGATTTAAAATCCATATTTCATTGAACTTTTGGTCCATAATAAACTTTTGATCATTATATGTCAACATCAAAATGGACATATATTCCAGATCCCTTATTCACTAGTCCATTCTATCATGCATATGCATTATTTGTCGGTTCCATCATATACCGGTATCATCATATAATTCCTTAGGGTGAAGTTGTAATTTGCATGCTATTTCGACAATGATATCTGAATACATTTTTCATTGGTACCATCATTAATTTTTTTCTCTTACATCATAAGCCATCTATTGTAATAATTCAAATATCTATACCACCTTTTGGTATTTATACACTATGGTATTTATATACTATTACACTATTAAAAGTGTTAACTGCACTATCTTGCCACATATCATATCTTTATTTTGGAACCAATTATACAACCCACACTTCAGGTGTAGTAATTCAAATATAATTGGCAAGATTTTATCTCAATGTATACACATAATATGACCAAAAAGTATCTTCAACGCCATGCAACATGAGTCATAACTAAATACAAATCAAATCATAAATGTGCAACATATCTTGATAATATATAGACAAAAGTTGGCATATAACTTTTCAAACTACCTTTTATAGGGATCATCAATTATATTTTCCGATTTTCCAACTTTTGCTATTTCTTCTCCCCCTAAGTTGGTAAAATATCTTATTTATAGGGGCGTCTAATTCTATACCAACTTAGTATACAAATTTGCAATAAATTCTTTTCATTGGGAGGATCACAATCAAAATAATTATCTCTGAAGATTTGTATTAAACAAGTTTTATCTCTTCTAGAGAACAATTTCAATGAAGAATCATTTCTTCATTAACTTTACATTGCATGTGTATTTATTGTAACACATTCCATAATATGTTCTCTTCTGGAGATCAATGTCAATGGGGAGATATGTGTCGTGCAGTTGTACGTTTTTCTTTCTTTTCCAATTTCTTATGTGCTGACATATAATAGCCCCAATCAAAAGAATTATTATACAAGCATAAATCACTTGCTTGGAATTCTACTAGGTAGTCATCTTCGAGATCTTTAAAGATTTAAATAGAGTATTTGGTGAGATTCTGGTCACCTAATAGTTGACAATAACATATTTGTTATTCTGGTGAACTTCTGGTCACCCATTACTCTTGACATTTTCATCAATACAAATTATTATAAATCACTATTCCATAATAGCTCAATCTCAATGTTATGTCTTGCCATTTAACTCATTTCATATATGCAACATTGAGAGAGCGTCAGCACATTATCAAATGAAACTTCAAGTTTCTATAACGGGTAATTATTAAACCCGGATGGCCTAATTTAATTATCACATCCAGTCCCTTCTCTAAATTTGAACTCTAGTCAGTATTCCAACACTAGTGACCACTTTGCTTAAATTACTTTATGCATGACCATGAATATGATGTGATATTAGAACACCAAAATGTGTTTCTTTATATAATTGGCAAGACAATCAACTAATACTTGATCTAAAATTTTATACTCTGCTGGAGCTTTGACTATAATCTTGATATATGCTAAGCTTATTGGATAATTCTATACTCTTCTAGAGTACTCTATATAATCATGATACATATCCGTTTTACTAAATATAATCTCTATAAAGATCTATCAAAATGTATTACTTCCTCAAATTTGCTATTGTCAATAATTGCTTTTTTTTTTTCTGTTTGAAGATTCTTATATTCGAAATCTATTGGGCTCGGCTATGGCTACCACGCTTTAGGCGTGCTTTAGGGATGAAATCTATTCATATCCATTTTCAGGATGGTATCATTTGAAATATATTAATTAACATGTGGCCACTTTTATTAAATAAAACATTAATATATAAGTTAATGTATCTATCAAACTGACCATCAATATATTTTATTATTTATGTGCAAGGATTACATAAAATAATGGTATAAATACTATCTCCCCCTAATCCTTGCATGTGGGGGCATTAAATTAATCCAACTACCTTTAAATCTCTTGCACCTTTTAAGCCATAAATTCTTTTATCAATGCATGTATCAAGCAAAGTAAAATGATTCTTATAAGACTCATATTTGTTCCTCTTGCCCAATTATATGAACCTTTATACTAAAAATTCACAAATTAATATTGTAATAGAATTAAAGGAACTAAAATAATATTCACTAAACCAAATAACTTAAATTAATAAATGACTGATAATAATAATAATGAAATATCCGATAACATAAAAAAAAATCTAAAAACAAATGTCCCATAAAGCATAAAATCATAGTACTACGATAAAATTCTATAATAAATGCAAGCTAATTAATAGAGTTTATTCGCCAATGGATCATAATTTATTCAATTATTTTCTTCAGAATTAGGAAAGAAATCAGCTGCTTCCAGGTGAGTTTTATCACCGTAATCAAAATCACCTTCGCCATCCTCGTACACCAAATTTGTTTCCACTTTCTTTCCTTTCTGTTTGATTGATTGTTGATAAAGGTCTACTAGATGTTTTGGTGTACGACACACACGAGACCAATGGCCTTTTCCTCCACAACGGTAGCATATATTTTCATATTTATCCTTCTCATTCTTATTTCCATCTTTATTGTCCCACTTCTGGTGAGAGTATGATTTTCTAAAATGACCACCTCGACCACGATCATGTCCATGTCCGCGGCCGCGACTACGACCTCGACCACGGCCTCGACCACGACTGCTGGCGTGATCTCTATCCTTTTGCTCTTTCCCACTATGGGATGTCGCATTCGCTTCAGGGAATGGAGTAGAGACAGTTGGGCGTGATTCATGATTTTTCATTAATAGTTCATTATTTGCTCAGCCACAAGAAGACAAGATATCAATTCAGAATATTTTGTAAAACCCTTTTCACGGTATTGTTTCTGCAGGACAACATTGTTTGCATGAAAAGTAGAGTATGTTTTTTCTAACATTTCTGCATCCGTGATTTTCTCTCCACATAATTTCAATTGTGATGTAATTCTAAACATGGCTGAATTGTATTCACTCACAGACTTAAAGTCTTGTAATCTTAAATGTAACCAGTCATAACGAGCTTTTGGTAATATCACAGTTTTCTGGTGGTCATACCTTTTCTTTAGATTACTCCAAAGGACTTGTGGGTCTTTAACAGTCAAGTACTCAGTCTTAAGGCCTTCATGAAGGTGATGGCGAAGGAATATCATAGCTTTAGCCTTATCTTGGCTTGTTGCAGTATTGTTTTCTTTAATAGTATCACCAAGTCCCTTTGCTTCTAAGTGTATTTCAGCATCTAACACCCAAGACAAATAGTTGTTTCTAGTAATATCAAGAGCAACAAATTCGAGTTTTGCAAGGTTTCACATGATTCACTGATATTTAAAACAATATTATAAATTAGGAACTAAGATGAAATATATATATATATATAGTAATAATCACTAATAAAATCCACCATCACCTAAATTAGGCTTCTAATTTGAGTCAATACCAGTAACACCCAGAGAAAACTATTAATCAACCAAATTAACAAACAAGAATTAGGAAAACTCATGGCCAATTAACTGTTATCAAATTGATTACACCTTTCTACAAATTTTCAACGCCACAACACATGAAATCTGATTATTAACTTTTATATCAGGGTAATAATCCCATGCTATTTTTACACAAATTGCAGGCAACAACTCACTCTAAATTACTCCTCGAAAACCGTTCTATACTTCATAAAACACCAATTATATCAATTAAAACCATGACCCAATTAAACTAAGATTCAAGCAACTAATTTAATCATTATAAGTTATGAAAGTCAACTCCCTGTTTCACATAAACCCCATGAAATCATCAAATCCAAGTGATATAAATACACCACGAAACCGAAATGCACAAATAGCTATCAACTACAATGATCATAATTTATACATGGATTTTGATTCTTGAAAATTAGACAAGAAACTAGAAGATAGCAGGCTCATGATGCATATAAGTCGCGTAAAATCGGTAGGGGGAAAACAGTCCATAATTTCGTCAAATTAAAAACCGATTTTATACAAGGTAAGCCTAAATCATGCATTCTAAACTAGGTGAAATCTAATCTAAGGGATAGTAGTAGTTACCTTAAAATTAGAAGTGCAAGAACGTGTACAAACAAGCCCGACGAACAAGAACCGGTGGTATCGGCAGAGCAACGGTGGTTTCGGCAGAGGGGTTTGGGAAATTACCTTTCTGGTTGGTGTTCGTGAAATCAAGAGGTAGCAATACTGGGGAAAATTTGAGAGCATGTTGGGAGTTACTTTGATTGTCGTTTGAGATGCTTCAATTGATATTGAAATCAATCTAGAGTAATGGTGCTGATAACGTGTTATAAAATAAGGAGAAAAATATGAGAAATGGAGAGAGAATAGATCAATTTATTATTCCATAGAGTACGGATATATATATATATATATACAATATAACTAGGGTTTGCTTAGATAACAATAAACCATAGATCTAGAATATTCCGGAATGATACAAGGAGGATAATGGATATCCACAAATATTTCATAACTATTCAATTATTATTGGTTCATAAGATTTCAAAATCAACACAATAAATAGTTTTTTTTTTTTTTTTTTTTTTTTTTTTTACCATTAAACCCCACCATTGTACAACTATATATAATGGTACATTTGAATGTTAATATTGTATTTTTGGCTCTGTTATTTTATACTTTCCATAATATTTCAACCTTCTAAATTATAACTTATTCTCCCTTAATTAAAAGGTCTCAAAATCTTGTGTAACAAATTTAAGTAAATAGAACACAAAATTAAAAGGAATACAATCATTTAAAGATAATATATAAAATTAGGAATAATATTAATATAGTTTTAATATATAAATAGTCAAATATTCCAAAAATAAAATATTTTTGCTAAAAAGGAAGGGAGGTTTTGGAGGGAAAAAACAGCACCAGGAAGAGACACGTGTCATTCCTGGTGTCTGTTTAGTATGTTATATTATTATTATGTTATTATGACATGTAGGGTAAAATTGTTGGATATATTTAGATAGATTTTATAAGATAAAAAAGTTAGTTTAGACTTTTATTTTTAACAAAATTTGGATTTAGTTTTAGGATAAATTTTTAGTTTAGAGTTTTATTTTCAATAAAATTTCAATATTTCATATGTATAAATTAAATTATAAATTCAAATAATTATCTTATAAATTCGTTAATTTCTCACTCGCACACGACAAAAAAGCATTAATGTGACACATTGATATGTATAGTATTAAGTCAACGAAATATAATATAAGACGAAATAATAAAATCAAAATAAGGAAAAGGTAGGTTACCAAGCTGAAGATGACTAACAAACTGGCAACATCGTGGAGGATATGAGGGGGTGTTTGGTATGGAGTTAGTATAGGAAATGGAATGGAAATAAATTAGGAGGGGAAAGGGTAACAAATAGTGTTACCCTTACTAGTTGTTTGGTACATCAAAGGAAACGAAAATAATTATCACCATTTCGTTTCCTCTTGTTTGGTATAACAAACAGAAACGAAAAATAAGAAAAAAATAATACAATATTGTCTATGCTACATATTTTACGGTTAAAAAAAATAACCTAGATAAAAAATATTGTCTATGCTACATATTTTACGGTTAAAAAAAAACAAAATATATATATATAAAGCAAAGTTGGCACTCATTAATTATCCAAACATTGACTAATAAATGTCCATCATCATATGAATAATCCCAACACATAACTTGTATTGCTCAAGTTGCAAATGTTCAACAAAAAAAAAAGACATGGCAGCAACCAAATGCTACTTCTTTTTAAGAAGATCAATTGCATATTGTTTTTTCATATTAAATGGTGCTTGATAGAAGATGCAAAGCTTATGTTCTTTCGCCATCAGAATAGTAGCAACCTCTAAAGCTTTGGATGGAGAAATTCCATCTAACTTCATCACCTCGTCCAATACCTTGTTCACCTTTTCATCCATCCTTTGCTCCCTTTCTTCCGCTTTACACCCTGCACTAGCCATAGTCTCGAGATTAACATTGATATTTTCAAATATCTTCCCAAAATTGTTGGAAACATCATGGAGGGAGGCCACCAAATCATCATCATCATCCCTACACAAACTCTTCAAATTTACCTTGTTCTTTCCTTTCACCTTAGTCTCCTTCGCCTTTATAGAGCGTTTTCCGCATTGAGTAGTAGAATCACTTGCGGAAGAATGACTTGTAGAAGCCTTCACTTTTGCCATTTTTGAAGGAGTTATATGATCATCCTCTATCTTCATGGGGCGTTTTTCGGATTGACTTGTAGAAGAATAAGTGTCCGAATGAGTAGAATTCACATCATCTTCTTCATCACTCTCGACATTGAATGGTTGCTTATCAATCTCTTGATCCATTTCTTCTATAGCTTCAACAAACGACTTACTTGCATCTCCAGTAGCTTTGTCTTTTGCGTATATCTCCGCAAGAGTTTCATAGTGAATGAATGGAACTCCAAACAACCCTTTAGCTTTCTTATGAGTCTACCATATAAGAGAATGCAACAAGTCAAAACATGAAAATCAGAACTGAACCAGGTAACTGATAAAATTTCAGGCTTTTACATGACAAATCCAAATGTCAGTATCAGCAGATCAATCCTTTTCATGTTTGTACACTATATTAACAATAAAATAGGTTCCATAAGTCTTAAGATAAGACTAGTATCATAGCATGAGACATTCACAAAGCTGAAGTACAAGAATCTAACTAGCATTGCTTACCTAATGACTGAACATAGAATCCATGTAACTATTAGTGGATCACATCATGCAGTCCTTAATATTTGTCAGTGTACTACATATGAACTCATGTCATATAAATTGTCCAATAACAGTTTTACAGATTGGCCTTTAATAGCATTACAATCTTCAGAAGAAGAAAAAAATGAACAAAGAGGAATGAAATAGCAGTTCATACCTTCACCCATTCATCGTACACGGCCTTCTCTACTTGCAACAATTTCTTTTCAGCATCCGATCCAACTTATTCATCACTTCCAACTTATTCATGTAACATTTCTTAAACCCATTCTCACACTTCCACTTCGGATCGCAACTCAACTCATGCAAATATCTTATTAGAACCGCATCTTCTTCATACGTCCAATACCTTTTATTTTTACCTCTTCCTCGATTGCTAGCCTCCATTCTAAACAAATTGTAGATTAGAAGGTAGATTAGAAATGAACATAACATGAGGTAAATTAAAAATGAACATAACATAAGGCAGATTAGAAATAAACAGAACAGAAGGCAGATTAGAAGTGAATAGAACAAAAGGCAGATTAGAAATGAACAAAACAAAAGGCAGATTCAAAGTGGCAGTGGCTTCAATATGAATAAAAACAGAAAATACACCTATATATATAGTGTAATCGAAGGGAAAACAAACATACATTTTTTTGCTATTGACCATGTCTACCTCTCGCCCTCCAATCATTAAACATATCTTGGGCTAATTTGTTTCTAAAATTGGTCCAATGATCCAAAGTAGTAACACTTGTAATAAATTCCCTTTCATCATTGGACTCACTTTCGGAATCATCATCGGATTCATTCAATTCATCTTCGTTTATATCATTTGTAGGCATGAATTTTCTAATTAGATTATGCAATAAGCAACAAGCCATCACGATACGTTCATGAGTTCTTATAGGGAAAAATGAAGAACTTTTAAGAATACTCCATCTTCCTTTAAGTAGGCCAAAACATCTCTCAATCACATTTCGCGCCCTAGCATGTTTCATGTTATAGA